GCAGATTTGTTTTTAAAGGAAATTGAAGAATCCTTTTTATACTCCAAATTTAGCAATTAAATTTTTTACTAAACATTGATACAAAAATTAAGTTTAAAACTATTTATTGCATCCTTAATCTTATCTTATTCAGTCTTAACCAAGGTTTGCAATTCTGCCTCATATGGTTTGCTTTGGGTGGTATTTACGTAGACCAGGATAAACTGGGTGGTTTGCTTGGTACAGGGTAGTATGGTCTCAGTACTGAACAGTTTATTTTTTTATTTTCACAATCTTTTTTCTAAAACTCTCTACATACTGGGTATGCTGATAGTCCGTAGGTACACTGGTATGACTGGTACGGTACTGTCCGAGCTTTAATCGTTACATGAAACTGGGAACATTGGTCTTAACTCTTAACCATTAATAAAGTCAAGCTAGTCTAATATTGTTTGAATAGATTAGCTTCTTAGTCATACCAAAAGCTATATTGATCTTGCTGGAGAACTACCCAGTTGATTTTCCATTTACACATTGAATCTTTAGATTTTTGCAGAGTGGGACAATAATCAAAATGAATATTTTGTATTTACTGCCTGTTATGTACTCAAATAATTTCACCAGTTATGTTCTTTAAACTGAACCTTAATGGAGCAAAATAGCAAGAAAAGATCCATGCCACTGACCCCAAATAATCGAGACATTACAGCTTGTTATTGTTGTGTTTTTATCATTTTGTTATATGTTTATAGGTAACTGATGAGCAAGTTCTGATGTTACAATGGTGCAAGGTTTCTGCTTAGAGGGGGCCACAGGGTATTTTCATTGTGTGTATATTGTGTAGTGTAGATATCTTTGTTGTTTCTGTTGTGTGCAGACTGTTAATCATGAACCCATAGGACATTCACAGAGATGATCCTCTTGTATGCTTATTTCTTTTGTTCTTTTGCTTGTATGCATAATGTCTCCACCAATACTAGCTTTAGAGAGAACTAGTGTCTGCAAGTTTACCTTAAAATTGCAGATGTTGCATGACTCAAGCCCTTATCACCTAGACTGCAAAGAAAGAACGTACCGTGACACCAAGACCCACCTTCTAGTTCTTTTACTTGTCAAGTATTACATAAGGCCAACATAAACAATACTAAGGTTATGAAAAATCTAGGTGCCTTTTGATCTCATAAAATATAACTGAAGGAAAAGGAAACATGAACAATAATAAGGGGATCCTGTTCATTTCAAGAAGATGAACTTGTGGTCCTGACAGTTCTTCAAATAATAGGAATTTTTGTTCTCTGCCACTGGCATTTCATGCATTGTGAATGTCAACTAGTCCTCCTAAGGACTGCCAGTATTAATCTTAAATCATAGTATTGCGAACTTTCTCACTTGTTTTGGTAGTGGGATGTTTTTGTGTAGAAGAATCTATGTATGACTATCCTCCTAAGAGGCTGTTACTTATCATTAGTGTGTCGTTAGAGCTGTAACTTCTGTTGCCATGCAGCCTATGGGGATGTCTACTTAACATACATTCTTTTTGCAACTAGCAGAGGAGACGGCTGATCACGCATGCTAACGCAAAGAGTAAGAGTGAAAAGTTCCCACCACCACACCAGGATGGATCGCTTGGCTACCCATTAGAGTCCTCACATTATATGGATCCTGCATTTGATCCCCCAGAAGCTTCATTCAGCACTGTGTTTCCCTACCAGAAAGGGGGAATAACAGCATGGTCTGGACCACTGATCAATTCTGCTGCTGCGGGACACCCAAGAAGAAAGAAAAAATCTTCAGGCAATTCTCAGATGCCCACTAACTTAAAACAGCTTGCTGGTGCCAATGCTACCAAGGAAGCTCAGAAGGACAAGGACATTACTCAATTCAGATGAGACGCTGGTGTAGTTAGAAACCCTCTTATTTGGATGGAGAGGTAATGGTAGCTTCCTACACCTCCTTTCATTGTTTTTTCCTTCTCTATCTGTTAATTTTTTTGTATGGTGAGCCTTAAGACAGTGGGATGGAGAAGAGTCTGCCGATGCCGTGTATATTGTTTTTCTTTTCTTTTTCTTTTTATGATTCCAGCACCAAGAAGAACTTAATTCTCTGGCTTAGGTTATTTGAGTCGAATAATTGTCTGGAGTCCTGGGATCCCAGCATCCATCTGTATTTTTTTTATTCCATTGTGAATGGGCTTCTGCCCCATTGTCATTTTAGATTTCTGTTCAGTGTTAGTCAAAAAAATATGCTGTAAAATACACTGATTCATAAGCTGCAACAGCTTTGTTAGTATGAGTCTGAATCTAATTGCAAGGAAGTTAAACATTTGAGCCTTTATTTGGATGACATCAAAGTCTCAAAATTCATAATTTTTGGGTTCTTTGTTACTAGTCAGTGAACATGTGGAATTTTAATGCATTTGTACTTTTCATCTTCTCTATAAATCACACAATCTTCCTCAACTTCAGATGTGAGCTACACGTGTATATTTTTCTCAACAAGGTTAGTAGAAACATTTTATGTATTTGCATTCCGGTGTTTGTGTGGCTCTCTCTCTCTCTCTCTCTCTCTTCTAATTCCAGGAATGTTCATCAGAATAATCTGTGAACAGAGGTTGATAGTAGATGATGACTGATGCTAAACACTAATTGGTTCCCATAACCACATCCTCATGCCTCTTCAGCAACACATCCTCAAGTCTTCTTCTCGCTCCCTTTTTCTCGGTTCGGTTCCATTTGGATGTGATGGAACAAGTAGCTATTCCTTCTGTTCCCCCTCTTTGATGAGATCAAAAGCAGCAGGAATCCTATCCTTCTGTTACCTGCAACAACTGCAAGTTTATTATTCGCTAGAATGGAAATGTAGAATAACAAGCTCGTCTGCAGATCACCAGAGCTAATCATTTCACAGAGAGAGAGAGAGAGAGAGAGAGAGAGTTCAGTGCTAGTAGCTCATGAACAACAGGACCAACACATGCAGTATGATCTCATCTGGCAAATAGTTTTCTAGTTAAAACAAAATGTAGCTGCGAGGAGATGCAGTGAGCAAAAATGCTTTGAGAACTCATGAAGGTGGCATTCTAATATAGTGCTGTGTGAGACCTCAGAATGACCCTCTTTGGACTGTGAGCTTTCAGAATCACCTGAAGCAATGTTAATTAAACCCATCTGTTTCGATTGAAGACAAGCTTCGAGCTTCTGTTTCTGGAACACTTGTCTCATCAACGCATGGCATGGATCACTTGTCAGAAACTGCGCATGTTGTTCCTCGACATGAATCTGCTTCACTCGCCATGCACACATGCGATGGAGCTCTGAACGATGGACACGTTCTCGACTTTGTTTCCTGCACAGATTCTGCATGGTCACTGAGTTCTGCAGGAAGGTGATTCCTGCACTACACATTTATCGTTTGACCAATTTGGATGGCATTCCATTTCCTTATATCCATCTAGATAAAACTTCCCACTTATTCACAGGAACACTATTCCATGACTCGGATTCCAAAGGATTAGATCATCCAAGCAACACAACCACATCGAAAGAGAGAATGAGAGTATCATATCTTCCAAAGGCAAAGGAGACAAGACAGAGGAAGAAGAGGAGGATAAGAGCATAATTATCCTTTTTCTTGAGAATTCCAGATGTATCCATGATGACACAATCTTCTCTATCCTTATCTCATTTAAACCCCAGTATAAATCATGTTGCACCAAGATATACCTTCACAGATTCTTAAAAGCAAAGATCCTCTTTTCTAAGGGCCATTCTTTTTGGCTCCTCATGTACTCAAAAGGTTACTAATCAGAACCTCTTGGAACAAACATACTTATGCCTAATATCATATAATCAACATGTATTTATTTGTAGTCAATGAGCTGTGTGCTACAAAGCTATCTTCTTGTTCATCTCGGAAAACACACCATCCTAATGAAATCTCCAAACTGGGTTGTTTTTCTTGTCATAGATATTAATTTAATCCAAAGATGAGTAGCGGGCAATTTTTAGAGATAGCAATGTAAACCAATGACCTGGCGAGGTGAAGAATAATTTGTTTGCCATAATTGAATTATGAACCAGCTGATCTTGGACGATCCCATATGGGAAGATGAATGAAATCACTTGGTCTAATGAGACTCTAGAATGCCAATCTATTATCCTTTCCCTTGTCTGATCCCAATGCAACCTAAAACTGATTCCCCATTAATTGGATTGTAGAAGATCTATTTGTCTTGGTAAAACAAATGCAAGTTTCAATTGTTTTATCTCCATCTCCTCTTTTTCACTTTTATTTGGTTGGTGACTGGTGGCATAACAAAACTCAGCTTCTTTCCTTTTTGTTTCTTTCATGGTCACTTTCTGCATGCATGTTAATTTACGAAGAGAATGTCTGTTTTCAGGCAAAGTAGATGACTGATCACTGAGCAAAGCATTGCTGATGAGGTGAGATGTTGCAGATGCACGCAGTCAGCCACAAGAATGGTGGCTCCTCATCGCCAAGGTTCATCCGGTTTCCTCTTCGCCGAGGCCATTCATCTCATGGATAAGGAGGAGGAGAAAGATCTGAGAGTTGTCCACGTTGCAACACCCACCCACATCCTGCTGTGCCCAACTCACCCCTGGAATCAACTGTCCATTCATGTACAGGATGAGGATTCCACCAACACGTATCTGATTCTGCCTGTCCCACGCTCTTCCAATCACCAACCATCGGATAATGTTACTCTGTGGGTTGACCTAAAGAGATTATTATCGATCTCTAACGACAACATGAAACTTCTCCAGTGTTCTCTGGTTACGAAGTCAGCATAACAGTTGGTTGTCGGATGGCCTCCAAAAAATTCCCACAGCAGAAGAGGAACTTGGCGTTATCCAAACCATTACAGCACCGAGTGGCACAATGGTCACTGTCAATTCAATGATCAGAGGAGTCTTTTTGGAGTGCAAACGCTATACAAAGAACATTCTGGATTTTTTTTGGGCTCTATATAAGCAAATCTCTCTCTCTCTCTCAGACAGCCGCGCGCGCGCGTCTTCAGCAAACTTCCACTATCGGAATGGAGAAGGTGATGAAGTTGGCATCTCAAAGAGCAGTTGTGGTCTTCAGTTTGAGCTCGTGCTGCATGTGCCACACCGTCAAGAGTCTCTTCCACGACCTCGGCGTCGACGCCGCCGTGCACGAGCTCGACGAGGATCCGAGGGGCAGAGAGATGGAGAAGGCTCTTGCCAAGCTTGTGGGGCGTAGTCCGCCGGTGCCGGTAGTGTTCATCGGCGGCAAACTGGTCGGATCTACGGACAGGATCATGTCACTGCACCTCGGTGGCAAATTGGTCCCTCTTCTTCGTGATGCAGGTGCTCTTTGGGTATAAGCAGTGAACTCCTGCGCTCTGGTCTCATCAGACACACGTACACGACTCTTGTGATGCATCTCTCTCTCTCTCTCTTTACATTACTACATCATGTAAATCCAAAACATAAGACACTGTGTCTTCGTGTTGCTCAGGTGGATCGAACACCACTTTCTCAAGTATCACCCTACTTTTCTAATGCATCTCTCTTTAGAATGTACCATGTAAATCCGAAACATAACACACTGTGTCTTCGTGTTGCTTAGGTGGATCGAACACCACTTTCTTAAGCAAAACCCTGTTCATCATTACCCATGTAAGAGGCTCCATTGCAGATCTTAATATGCTTACTATGTCATACTGAGATTGCTCTCTGGGGTTTGGTAGTGCTGTTCAAACCGGTTTGATTAAAGTAAGATAGGTCTAAAATTAGTTCAATATCGATTCTATTGGGTATACTAAATTAATTGATTTTAAATAATTTAACAATTTATATATATTTTTAAATGAATCCCCGTATGGTTTGGTTTGATTGAACTGTACCAAACTCTTGATTCTATGAAATTAAGCCTATATCATTTATGAAATTATGATATTAAGATTGGATCAAATTAAACCTTTTGATTGATTTGATTAAACGATTTGAATTGATTAAGAGCTTAAGGTAATAGGAAGCAAACCGAATAATAGTTGAATCATTTATAATCTTCCAAATCAAACTATTAATGAATCGATTTGGTACCATTTGATTCAGTATAATTCGTAGGCTTCTTCGCCGTATGTTTGCGACCCATACGTCAGCTTGAGGGATATTAGACGAAAACGGCCCATCATTTTAACCGGGTCGGGTTCATAGCAAGGATCCGGATCCGGATCCGGAATGTTAAGCAGGCTATTCAACGCCGCTTATTCGTATACTCCGTACCGGGAGGTATCGCGTCATGGATCGGGAGTGGGGATCGAAGCCCGGCAGCGGCGGTGCCGCCTCCGCCCAGAATGAGGCGATCGACCGCCGGGAACGACTCCGGCGGCTCGCCCTCGAGACCATCGACCTCGCCAAGGACCCTTACTTCATGCGAAACCATCTCGGAAGGCAATACCACTGAACCCTAAACGTCTCCGAAAAAGTGGAGCGATCTCTTCTTGCTGTTTTCTTCTTTGAGGTAATCGCTGACTCGGTTTTCCTGCAGCTATGAGTGCAAGTTGTGCCTGACGCTTCACAACAACGAGGGGAATTACTTGGCCCACACCCAGGGGAAGCGCCATCAGACCAACCTCGCCAAGAGAGCCGCCCGCGAGGCCAAGGATGCGCCCGCTCAGCCTCAGCCGCACAAGCGCAAGGTCTCACTCCGCAAGTCTGGTAATTCCCACCGCTCTCACAGTCAGATCATGTGTTCCCGTTACTCTTTTTCAATCTGTCATTTGCCTCTCTGTGGTATTGTTGTTCAATAACCAACTGGAAAGCTGTGGTCTATTATTAATGACTTGTAAATTTGGTGATAAAAACCTACAAGGGTTTTGTCCGTATACATGGCTAAAGTGGTTAGAATGCTCAATAGTTCTTGCATTTATACTGGCTCCTTGAATTAATCACTTGGTCAAGGAGATTTTTGGACACAATATTTCCTGCCCCTACATAACTTTGATTTGATTGATGTCAGAGTTTCTAAGACTTAACTATAGTCATATTATATATCATCAACATCTTTTATTACCTTATTTCTTTTTTTCGATTTATCAGCTACCGTCAAAATGATGGTCTATAAGAACATGCTTGCCGTTTATTAGAGAAAGCCACTTGTAGAGTACTGATGTGCAAAATGGTAAAGAACTGGGCATTACATATTTATGAAGAATAAGCATTATACAGATCAATTCAACGTAAACAACGAAGAAAAAGGGAAGCGTGAGAGGAGTCTGTGGGATCATGAAAGAGGACATGAAATGGACTCAAAATCAAGAACTGTGGAGTTTAAAAATTTGATCGATTGTTTAGAAATATGTCATTGGCTAATGAGCGGGCCCTGTTTGGTGTTTTTAGCTATTATAGGTTAGAGAGGCTAATCTGACTCGTTTGAGATAAATGTGCTAATGATCATGCTTATATTTTGTTGTTGGTGTGTAGTTTAGGTGGCATTGTAAAATACTCGATTCTTTTTGTTCTTGTTAGACTTTTTGGTTCCAGAGGTTGATGTCTGTGACCTGCAGATGCATAGAATGTAAGTTTGTTCAACTAAATTACATTATTCCTTTTTCTTTGTTTATGATAATGCACAATTTGAGGAGAAAAATGAAAACATGCCTGCCAGGGTCCCTTGTTTGCTCTTTTTTTTGTAGGTTCAGATCCTGATGTTCAATTTTTAACGATGACCTCAAGCAGTCTTTATTTTAGGATGGAACACAATCTTTAGGCTGCGAACTTGCTTTTTTATCTGACTGTTCGATATGAAATTCTTTATATAAACTTATGATTTTTAAGAAGTATACTTGGGCACAATGCTTGCCACCATTCATTCATCACAACTAAGGTCCTCTGTGCAATATCCAAACACATTGGATAGGACATGATGCTTTAGAGGCATCTCTTCAAATGCTTCACGCTACTGCAGTTGATTAAACAGAAAGGTTTGTGTGAATCTAGAATTTTGAGTGTCACGTCTCAATATGAACATGAATGTTACTTGTAATAAGTCAAGTATTTTTTGTAGGGTTTATTTTGGTGTCTTTGGTTAGTTGTTATTGACACTATCTGAGTAAATTTTAATTGACAGTAGATTTTGTGAATTGTACAAGTTGTCTCTTCATGAACTGCATTTAATGCACACTTAGTTCATTTCTGGCAACTATTTAGGTATAAAGTAGTAATATTTATGTACCCTTTCATGTTCTTTTTTCCTTAAGTAATTTGTATTTTTGCAGATTGTTATTTTCATTTGGACAATTTACAGTCATGCATTAGTTGTATCTACTTTTGAGGTGTATCTATCTTTGAGGAAGTACTGAGGAATTAGTCTTGTAGTTACTAGGCCTATATAAATTTCGTTACTGGTATTTGGTTGTGATAGTGTGCTCTATATACAGTTAAGATTGGGAGGCCTGGATACAGGGTAACAAAGCAATTTGATCCAGAGACAAAGCAGCGATCTCTACTGTTTCAGGTTCTCATCTACTATTATTATGATTTTGTAATTCAAAGATTGTTGTATGCTGGATTCTAATTATTTCTAAGTTTGGTTTGGCGTGAGAGCTTAAATATTTGGTTCAGAACATAAGCTTGATTTAGGTTGAGAATATCTCTTCATGTGTATACTTAACACTGTAAACATGAAAAACATTAATTATTAAATGGATAATAGCTGTGGGGTTTTTGATGGAGAACCATCTAGCTTTACAAAGGATTTCTGAAAATTTTATTTTAGGCAAAGAAATCAACAAAAAGTCATCAATTAATTAGCCTAGAAATTCTACGAGTCATGTTGAAAATTAAAAAAAGGTCTTTTGGTCTTTCTAGGGACTCCTTTTGTATTAAGTGCACTCTTGTATTAAATGCACTAATTTATTATTTAGATAACCTAGAAGTCACATTTTGGATTTCTAAAAGGCGTACTAATTCCTTAGGAGATTATTCTTGGGAACCATTATTTTCATTAATTGTACTAAGGCTCGTAAACCTCTAAAAATAATGGAGCTTATCAATGGATCAAGCATTTTTCAGATTTGAATGAAAAAAATTGCATCTTCTCGAGTCTCTTACTTTTCTCTCTTATCTCACACTTCTCGTTTTTTGCTCTTCTTCTCTCTCTACTTTCTTGTTCTACATCAGTTTGGTATTAGAGCCCATCGAGAAACCTGCCCTGTACCTTATTGGGTTCCAACTAGTAGCAAAAACTTCGATCAACACTCAAGGATCTTTGCACCTCCAATGTCAACCTTTTTGCTTGTGGAGTTGGACTTTGGAGCAATTGTTCCTATGGAATTGGTTGACCACATAGTTCTTAGTATCGGGTAAATTTTTAAAAACTTTAATAATATTTTTTTGTCAGAAAGAAAGATTGTATATTTCATTGGATCATGATTGTCATCGTTTCTCCCTCATTTCTTTTTTTCTATTTATCACCCTCTCTCTTCCCTTTTGCTATAACTACAGTGCCACTAAAATTTGAACCTTTAAAAGTTATTAAAAAAATAAAACAAAAAGTGAAAAAAAAGAGAACCATTTGAGATATTGCATTTGTAGCTTATGCATTGCAACAATTAACAACCTCATTACCAAAAGGTAATTTGTCGATAGCATTAGAATCATGAGTCGACGAGGTGAAGACCAAATCAATCCTGATGAATCCTTAAACCAACAGAGTGAGGTGGACACCCTTGGTACCGAGCTAGCAAATTATGACATAATGTTGAACAATTATGTGACAAAATGATCCAAGTCTTAAGAGCTCTCCAACATCTTGAAAAACAACCCATGAATGAGGAGCTTGATGAGTTGGTTAGACAACATGTCCATTCTCTACAATTCATAGCCTCAAATCAAGAAAGTTTTAAATTTTACCTACTCTCTAAGCCCCGGTTTGAACAAATCCTAGGTCCACCTATAGGGCACCTGTTCATAATCATGCTCTAATAATTCCTGATGACTAAACCTTTGATCTTAACGATAAATTCCTAGAACTTGCTAAAAATCCACAAACCCGAGTAATGGGCCAACAAGTTCGGTTTGTTGACAATCTAGGGGAAATATCTAGAAGAGTTAAAGTAGATTTGTCGGATTGGCCCAATTTGCTGACTGGTTAGATAGCATGGAAGACTACTTTGAGTGGTATGGAATGATTGATATTGAATGTGTACGATTTGCAAAACTGAAACTGGTAGGATCCGCTAGGAAATATTGACAACATGTTCAATGTAGTCTCAAACACCGTCGAGAGCCTCCCATTACTCAATGGGAAGTCATGAAACAAAAACTTAAGGAAAAATATTTATCAACTTATTTTCGAATCCAATTGGTTGAACAATTGTTAAACCTTAAACAGTTGAATTCTAGTGTGACAAAGTATTTTGCCCAATTTGAGAAACTTTTACCTAAGTGTGAAATAGAAGAGGATCAAATCATCACTGTTTGAAGATTTGTTAATTGGTTGAGGTTTACATCTAATGGAAAGTTTCCTTGGTTTCCCCAGCACCATGGAGGAAGCTTCTCGTTGAGCCTTTGAGATTGAGAAGTACATCAAATTTTATCTAATTTGTCAAGCATCTTCTTCGTCTCTTGACAATAGAACAAAGGATTAAAATTTCGTACTGTACCAGAGTTTCGA